TATTTTATTTCATAATGATTCACTAAGTATTCAGTGGTATTCCATGCTTTGTGTTTTATTTTATGATAACAAAATTTCTGCTGGGCACAGTGGCACACTGCATGTAATCCTAGCTTCTTAGAGAGGCAGAAATCTGGAGGATTGAGGTTGGAGGCCACCTGTCCTGAGACCCTATCTCACCCAATAACAAGTTGGACATTGTGGCATGTGCACAGCAGGAAGTAGTACAGGTCAGCCTGGGCATAAAGGTGAGATATTATCTCAAAAACAAGGCAAAAAAGGCTGAGGGCCTGGCTCAATCATGCAGGGCATAGCTAGCAAGTGTGAAGACCTGAGTTCAAACCACATTACTTATAAAAAAGAAAAAAAAAAGACTATACAATTCCTTCTAGAGTTCTCTCCACTTTGTATAAGCTTTAACATAAAACTTAATCTAAAAATTAAAATTTTGTGGTTGAGTTCATACCTCAGTGATTCTAGAAGAAATGAGCTTGATGTCACATTTTGGTGACATTTTTTCAATAACGAAAAGTTTTATGAGCAGCCACTAAGCACTGATACTGTGTTGTAGGTGTTTTTAATTAAAAGATGGAGGAGGAATGTTTTCACAACATGGAAGGACATAAAATATAGTTACAAAGTGAGATTTATTTTCTCATTTCATGCAAGTTAAATTACATCAACAAACTCTAATTCTCAAGATGTGACATCTGGACTCAAGAGATACACTGGGGTTGTATTGTGCTTCTGAAAACTAAAGACAGGATGAATTTTTGCCCTGGTGAGGATAATATAAGACAATGCAAATGTAATCCTCGTTATTTTTTTTTCAACAAAAAGCAGCCCTTTGTGTTAGTTATACTTTACATCACTGTGACAAATATCCAAGAAAAACAATTTAAAGGAGAAAATGCTTATTCTGGCTCACAGTTTCAGAGGTCTCATGGCAGGAAACAGAGAGAAGTAACAGGAAAGGGCTGGGGCAAGCAACGCCCTTCAGTGACATGCCCCCGTGACCTACTTCCACCAGGCAGGTCCCACGTTCCACACTTCCACCACCTCTCAATAGTCTGTTCAAATTTTAAATTCATCAATGGATTGATGAAGGCAGAGCTTTCATGGATCCAATCACCTCCCCAAAGCCCAGCCTGCTTTTATTCATCCAGGACCACGCCTTCAATACATGAGCCTTTTGGGTGACACTTTCTACTTCTTTACCATACGTAAAAAGAGCATGGGGTGAGCTAATTTTATTCTGCAACTAATAACATACTTCTAAATATTGTGGATTTTCTCTAACCCTATATCCTGCAATCTTTATGATAAACTTCCTTGGAAGTTTTTGTAGTATTAAGTCCTACAAGTAGTCCCACTTTGTAGATATCAAAAACAGTTCAATTGGTTGTGGTTTGCTGATGTGCACAAAAACACTCCCAAAGGGTCAAGGATGGAACTGAAGTCTGAGTCAAAGCTTCTCCTCCCAGTCTGATATAAATCCTTCCAAGCAGTCACTGAGGCACAGCCTTCCCCATCCTCGTTCTGGGTTTACACCAGAAGTTACCATCTTAAAATGCTTTAGGAAAGAGGAGCGCTCCTGATCTAATCTGCTGTTTCTCATGAGATAAGACTGGGATTTGATAAACGAATCCTTTCTTCTTTAGTTTCTTTAACTTTAGTCATTGAGTGGAAACTCAAAAGGAATTTCTAGACACCAGTATCTATCTTCAACTTAATTGGTAAACCCAGTGAAATTGCATCTATCAGGCAAATACAGACAGATGGCAGTAGAAGGTGAAAAATATGAATAAACAGATAAATATTCAAAAGAACTGAGTTAGTTCAATAAGCCTCATTCTTCTATGTTTTTCCTTAGTGTGAAAAAATATGTCATTATCCTGATGGCTTATTTATTTATTTATTTTTATTTCCTTTATTCATATGTGCATACAATGATTCCCCCTTCCCCCTGCCCCATGATGGCCTTTTTAAATGCAATGTTTTCTTTTCTCTTTGGATTGCTATAGTACTTATGGCTGATCCAGCAGACAATTTTTAATAAAGTAAATTACTGAAATAAAATTTAATAAAAACCAAACAAATGCGATGTTTTTGCCTCTGTACTCACCTAGCACCCAATTTGTTGTAGAAAAGGCAGGGTTAAAGTGTACACAGGGAAAGCTTTTGACTTTACTTGATGCTAAGGACAAATAAGTAATCAACTATGCAAATATCACAAGCACAGGAACTATAATCCACACCTACACTAATTACTCAAGTATTTGCTACAACATTGAGGCACCAGCAGGCTAACTGGGTATTGTTTGGGCACACTTGAATTTTTAGATAATTTTAATCATCTCATTTCTGAATTCCCTTAATTTCTTCTTTTAAGTAACTTTATTCTTTTTATTCTCCTAGAAGTAAAGTTACCAAGGTACACGATTAAGCAGAATGAAAGGCAAAATAGGGGGAAGGGGCACAGAGGTTCAGCAGAAGAAAGACACATTCTCTATCCCAAATCTCTTGCTGAACACATTTTACACTGGTGACTCACTAAACATGGGCTTGTGTGCATTTTTCCTTAGAACATTTCAGAGTTGAAATACACCATTTGCTCTTTTCTTAAAATTGTTAAGTTGTTCTGAGTTAATATCAAAAGTGGATAAAGTGTATTTCCACTTTATTATGTCTCCACCTCCCACCCCAATTCCTATCCTTCCTTCTTTCCACTTGGCTCACAGTTTAGTTATAAAAACATTTTGGTAGATCACTTTATACTTAAAAATTTATGATTAGGAAATTCTAACTTCTGTGGGGGATTTTTCCTTCAAATAAGTGAATGTAACTTAATTTAGAGAAATCCTTTTGAAAATAATGTTGAAAGTAAGAGGTTAGCAATATAAAACCAGAAATGCTAAGGTTAAACTTACCTGTAATAAAATCCTTTCTATTAACAACTCTGGTAAGTGTGTGTGTGTGTGTGTGTGTGTGTGTGTGTGTGTGTGAGAGAGAGAGAGAGAGAGAGAGAGAGAGAGAGAGATTCTGTGGTTAAAAAAAGAGCTATGCTCTCTCAGTGGGAATTTCCAATTGTCACAGTAACCTAATTCACAACAGTGTAACTACTTCATGTATTTTTTGGTAATTGTTAAACACAGAAGCTAATTCTAAGAGGGAAAGAAATATAATGAAATTTTAAAGTTCTGAACTGAAAAATGAATTTAACCTTTAAGAAGTTTCAAGTGAAAAGTTCGCAGCATTTGTTAACAACTTAAAAACTCTAGATCCCATTAAAGTGAATTAGGAAAGAGGAGCTCTTTTCTTCTAATCAGTTATTTCACAAGAAAAGAGATCAGGTCTTAATAAATGAACACTTTCCCCCTCAGTTTCTCTAACTTTAGTCACATCACACCCAATAATTTTAGATGATATTTGAGTGTATTATGAAAAAGTATAGTTATCTATAAGCTGTACAGCATACTCAACTCTGAATTCTGACAGGGCTTGCGTACCAGAAAGTCTAGACTGGCTTCTTACATAATTAACGACCAATGATAAGCAGAGGAAAAATCTCAGAATCAGTAGGAAACTTTCAATGAGACCACCAAGGAGGTACAATCATAAGAATTCAGCATTAGGAAGAAGAAAAAAGCATCCAAAGTTAGATTGTAGAAAGTGGGAAGATGGCTGCTGAATAGCAAACCAGGACTTGTGTTTCAGTTAAAGGAAAAAGTGTCCCAAATATTAATTAATTAATTAATTAATTAATTAATATTAATTTTAATGTATACAATGGAATCCAAAGTCATTGATTTAAAAATAATAGGTGACAGCATTTCCAATGTCACAGAAATGGAGACAAGTTCATTAACAAGGGTTAATTTCATAGGGAGTTTTAAACAAGAGTGACTTAAAATGACAGACTGATCTCAATCTCTCATATATAAAAAAAGATTTTATTATTCATCTTGCAAAATGTCAAAACACCTAAACTATTACAACCTTTGTGAAAAAACCTTTCAAAGCTAATGGCTATTGATTATTTCTGTCATTCTTACATGAAGTACAAAGCACAATTAGCAAAGCAGATGGTGATAAATCACTGTGAAGTGAGTTGCTATAGCCATCAGCAATACTTGAGAGAGCTATTGGGAATTGGGTTGTCGCAGGGCTTAGACTAAGTCCTTCTTAAGACAAGGTGACCATAATTGACACTAGTTAGTTACAAGTGACCTTACACTCCAGTGATGTTTTCTAGTATTATCTCGGAAATTTTAATTCATATCAAATGTGGAGAATTTCACATTACAAGTAATTATAATGACTCTTCACTTAGATCCTAGAATTTAGAGGATCTTGAGCATGTTGGGTTTTCTAGGTTGTGTCTGACATGTATCACAAGCTTATAGCTCCACGTCCATTCTGTACTTCACTCTGTGATTGATTAATTAATAATGGAATAATGGTAATGTGAAAGAAATGATTATGGAAAATGATGAAACATCAGAGATACTAGTCATTACCCAATGTATGTAAAGATAAACATTAAACATACACTTGTATAAATAATCCATTCATCACATCCATTCTAATGAGTCTTGTGGATCACAACACAGTATTTGTTTCTAGAAATCATCCATTGTTGCTGTTGATATTGCAAAATGATGCTATCAACAAGATTTATGTAGGAGTTTGTCAAAATACACGCCTTCGTTTTTTTTTCCCTTCCATAACCCAGAAGTCATACTTAGCAATTGTTGTGAAGTCTGAGGTAAAGAACTATTGAATTTTGTCAGTGAATATGTGACTGATTGCAGAAGAGCACTTCTCTTAGTCACCATTGGGGAGAAAAGATAAAATTGTTCTTAAAACAATGATATACATCTTCCTGAAACCCAGCATTTCAGATGTGGAAAATGGAGCCCTCCATGAAGGAGTTCAATGAGTCTTCCTTCCCTACTTAGACTAACAGCACCTTCTTCTTTTTCTCTGTTTCTTCCTAGAATGCAGTCCCAACAGTATCAACAACAGCGTCGAAAATTTGCTGCTGCCTTCTTGGCATTTATTTTCATTTTGGCAGCTGTGGACTCTGCTGAGGCAGGGAAGAAGGAGAAACCGGGTAAGCAGCAGGGTTATGAGGGGATGCGTCACTGATGCCCATTATCTGTGCTTAACACCTCCTTCCCTCCCTTCCTTCTTTTTTCTAATCAATGGAAACTATGTGACACTCCTCTTTTCTCCCACTGTAAATCCTGGAGTATAATCAGAGTGGCTACCATGTATGGGCACTGACCCACAATCAGCTGATTCTATAAAAGATATGGTTTAAAAAAAAGTTAAGCTTTAAAAAGTAAGAAAACACTGTATTAGAAATTGTCAGATTAGCCATTTACTTAAATTACCTCTTTTCCTCAATTAATGTCCCTCAAGGATTTTTCTTAAATCTGAATCTGTGATTCACCATGCTTCTACTACAGTATTTCATCTACAGTGACTAGCACTGAAATAGCTCGTCAGATCCTAATAGAATGTTTGCTTTCTCAATTTTTAAGTCTTGTTTTTGACTCTCTCTCCTCTCTGCCTCTCTCAATAGTTGCTTCTAAAAGGACGTGTCAGTAAATCACTGAGAATAGTCTCTCACACATAGCAAGAATTAAATTGATGTTAGTTCTAGTTCAGTTTTCTTTCTCTTGGTCACTTGCTGATTTGATCATTTGTCTGACATCTATCACACCCTGTTGTTTAATAAGAATATAGACAGAGATTAAAAGCACAAGCTCTTCAGTGAGGGTGCTCATGAGTGAACTTAGTTTTTATCTAGGAGTTAAAGAGTTTTCTGACTGTTGATTATTTTTGCTTCCTTCCAGAAAAAAAAGTGAAGAAGTCTGACTGTGGAGAATGGCAGTGGAGTGTGTGTGTGCCCACCAGTGGGGATTGTGGCCTGGGTACCCGGGAGGGCACCCGGACTGGAGCTGAGTGCAAACAAACCATGAAGACCCAGAGATGTAAGATCCCCTGCAACTGGAAAAAGCAGTTTGGAGGTAAATCTAACTCTAGTGTCCCCCTGATTAAATCTCCTACTCTGAGATAATTCTGGAATATTACTACCTAATGTCTTTTTAAAATCAACTGCTACTTATTTAAATGAGGTTTATTTATCAGACACAAAGTAACCAGGCATCTTGCCTATACCCAGGTTTTTAACTTCAGCATTAGTGACATTTTGAACGAGGTGACTTTTTGTCTTGTACATTATAGGGTACTTGGCAGCATCTTTGACTTCTACTCACCATTCCCACCCACCGGTTGTGAAAACTAAAAATGTCTCCAGACACTGATGACCAGATGTTCTCTGAGGATCTAAGTCATGCCTGGCTGAGAAAACACATTGCCTTCTAGAGGCAGAGGATATGTCTTTGATCGCTTCCAATAATGTTCATTGATCTATTTTTCCCTCTCCTTTCTTTCCTTCTTCAATTACTACATTTCTTTTATTTTCCTTTACCCTTTACTCATTAATTCTTCTCCTCATGTCTCTCTCTGTGTCAGTCTTGAGCCTGTATATACACATATATCAACATTTTATTTGTTAGCGTCAAATGCTAGAAACAACCCAGATATTCTTCAATGGGTGAATGCTTAAATAAACTGTATATTCATACCATAGAATACTAGTCAGCAATAAAAGGTAATTATTATTACTGATACATGAAACTAGGATGGGTTTCCAGGAAGTTATGGTAAGTGAAATAAAAAGCCAGTCACAAAAGTTCACATAGAGTTTAATTCTACTCAGATAGCATTGTTATGATGAGAGAATTATAGAGCTGGAAAACAGATTTGTGGTTGTCAGAGATTCAGGAGGTGGGAAAGCTTTGGCTACAAAAGCTTATCCATGGACCCCTTATGTTGGATATTATTCAAAATATTAACAGTGAAGAGCATGTGCATAAAATATGCATAATAATTAAAAGACATGCATGATAAAATTCCACAGAACTAAATATACATACTATTACAGAAATGGGTGCATATAAAACTGATAAAATCTGACTGTATCAATGTCAATTTCAGTTGTTCTATTGGACTGTAGTTATGCAAGATACCACAGTGAAGGGAACATAGGTGGAAATGAGGAAACTTCTTTGTATTCTTTCTTATAATTGCATGGGAATCTACAATTACGTGAACACAAAAATTAAAAAACAAAACTGTGGCTTTATTATGGTGCCACCACAATAGGATCTCTCAAGGATTTCTGTTTGACCCTGCCCTACCTCTAGCGGAGTGCAAATACCAATTCCAGGCCTGGGGAGAATGTGACCTGAATACTGCCTTGAAGACCAGGACTGGAAGTCTGAAGCGAGCCCTCCACAATGCTGACTGCCAGAAGACAGTCACCATCTCCAAGCCCTGTGGCAAACTGACCAAGCCCAAACCTCAAGGTAGGTCCCTGCCATTATTCCACAATGTTAAAGGGTTTATGGACTCAGGCAAGATGTTCATATATAAAAATCAAAATTTTCAAGAAAGAAATGTTAGTTGGATTACCTTATGACTGTGATTGGAAAGTTAGCATATAGAGAGCATCATGAATTACCTACAGCAGATAGTCTGTGAATTCACATTGAAGTCCTCTGCATAGCTGTGGGCATTGGTGTAGGCTCCTAGCATAAAAAAATAAATAACTGTAAAACAAGCCAATTAAGATGGCTGCTGTAGGGTGGGTATATGTCACAAACTCTAAATTGGAACTGGATCTTGACAAGATAAAAAAACTTATGAAATTCATGAAGCAGAAAAGTTTAGATCAAACCTCTCTGAGATTATACAAAATATCACAAAATCAGGAAAATTATTTTACATTTTTTCCTCCTTTACCACATAACTTGATAGATTCTGTATTTCTTATACTAATTTCAGAGCCTTTATATTTTGAAGTAGTTTAGCTTACCAAATATATTCATCACAGAATTTAAAAATTATATAGTGTGTTCTTTCTCAGGATGTCAGGGTCTGCTCTCATGGTGGTGAAGAAACAAATATTACAGGCATAGTTTCATATAAATAGAATGTGTGCTAATGGAAATCAAGGAGGTATTACATTATTTTATTTCATAGGTATTTATATCTCCTCAATATTTATATGTTGAAGTCTTATCTACCAGTACCTTGGAGTGTGGCTGTATTTATAACTATGGTCTTTTAAGAGATAACTAAGTAAAAATAAGGTCATAGGTGTGGGCCCTAATCCAATATGGCTGGTGTCCTCATAAGAAGAGATTAGGACACAAACACAGAGAGGACTATGTGAGGACACAGGGAGAAGACAGCCATCCACAAACTATGACAGAAACTTCAGAAGAAATCAGATCAGTTTGATACTTTCATCTCAGACTTCCAGCCTCCAGAACTGTAAGAAAATAAATATCTATTGTGTAAGCCACCCACTGTGTGGTATTTGTTATGTTAGCCCCAGACGACTAATGCAATAAATCCCGATGAAGTCAAAATTAAATTACCTTCTTGGTCTCTATTCATATTTAGCCCAAAATAAACCTGAAAATTCATACTGCCAGCTTAATTATAAGAAGAAATTCAAAGCAATGGCTATGTAATGAATGCCAGTAATAAACAAAAATAGGAAAAATGAAATCCCGAAACCTGAGGAGGATTGGTTGGTTTGGTGCTCATGGTCAGAAAGAATGTTTTTCACAATCTAGTTCTTCATCTTCTGCTGAAGTTGTCCTTGGAAATGGTTACCTCCAAGTTCCAGGTGGCCATATGTAGGATAGACCTGCAGATGACAAATCTAGAATTCAGGAACGCTTTCTAGACTATGGAAATCTCTGATTGCTGTAGTACATATTCACAGGGCATGAAGTAGGGCTGGGGTTGGTACAGTGGGTATTTGTGCCAACTTTCTAAGTGTCACTTCAACACCAGTGATAACCATGGATCTAACTAGAATCAATAGCACTATTAAGAGAAACATTTCCAAAAGTGAAAACAAAAGTCAGATATACAGTTTACAAATTAATTTATTTTCAAATAACCATTGAACCAAATCATTGAGCATAAACGTAGAATGGAAAGGAAAAGAAACTGAGGGGGTCTATTTTAGCCTAGTGGCTCTCTATTTAAGGTGCACATCAGACTTTTCTGTGGGATCTTAGAAAATCCCAGTGTTCAGAAATAAAAAGTCCTATTAATCATCATCAGTAGTTTAGAGAGTTAAATGACGCTTACAAAGATTCCAAGTGCAGCTGAAACTAAGAACTACTACTGTTCTGGTATGAAATTTATTGACAAGAGGCCAACACACATGTACACTGTCTTTAGGATACTGGGAGGCAGATGCTTCAGCTTAACAAAAGGAGAAGAAAAAGTGGGAGCTGAAATATTTAAAAGTTTGGAATATATAGTACATGACTTGGAAAGATCCGTAAGGATATTCAGCAAACACATTAAATGAAGTCTTCCTTTTAATTGGACTGGTGAATATCGTACCTTTTACATTTTCCCATGTAATAATATTTAATGAAGGTTAAAATTTGTTTCATGCTTTTAGCTTGAAAAATGGTGGTAAAAATATTTCAACTGGGTAGACATTCTGTAATGTTCATACATATTAAATAATTAAGGTACATAAGTAATTTAAAATGGATTAGACTGAGTGAGTGCCATGTTTCAAACTACCAGTTAAGCATTTTATAGGTCATTAAAGTGTAATCTTCCCTTTGCACATAATATGCCTTTGTGTAAACTAACCAATCTTTTGCCTCTCAATAGTGGAGGCATTTTATAAATGTCATTTTGGCACTAGACACTCTGCACAAAGGAAAATATTATTACAGGAGTTGAGCCAGGGAGATGTGTCCCATAGGAGATTTTAAAATTTAAATTTCATTTAATTTTATTAATTTTATTTTTTTGGCAGTCCGGGAGATTGAACTCAGGGCCTTGTGCTTGCTGTGCAAGCACTCCAGCTCTTGCACCACTCCCTAGCCATTTTGCTTTTAAGTTTGTTTTTCAGATAGTGTCTCACCCTTTTATCTGGGCTCCCCTGGAGCTGTGATCCTTCCATCTTCCACCTGCTGAGTCAAGGAGCTGTTCTTAATGGGCAAAACACACACCTTCCATGATATATATATTTGTTACATTTAAATAAAATGTAACAAGTGGACTGTATATGATTTCTTTACTATTTTGCTCAAGTATCTTCAGCTGGATGTTGCAGCTTTCCTTTTGTGAGAGCAGAGTGCTCATTTTCTTCTCAATAGCTGAAAAGCAAATAATACTAAATCAGAATTAGTGTTCTCACTATCATGATTCTGCTCCTGTGATTTCCCTAAGGATTGTACAGGTATTATCTCATACAGTCCTGTACATGCTTACAGGTAAATATTGTATAAAGGAAATTGAAGGATGCTGGTAATTTATTTGTCCACAGGTACTTCTCAAATAAATGACAGAATCGGGATTTGATCAATTCTAAACTTGTGTTGTCTTTTGTACCATGCTGATATCCTACCTAAATCACATGTGGTGATGAACTAACCTCCATGGGTTTAATTTTACATTGAGAGAGGAGGTGAGTTTTTTAAAGCCCAGTACTGGTATGTCAAAATAAAGAGGACATTTTCTGCAAAATTATTTCTGTGACAGTTCTGGAAGCATCCAGCAGACTGTAAGTGTCAAGAGGACAGGGACCTGGCTGGTTTCATTCTCTATTGTATTCCTTGTGCCTGGAAAAAGGAGTAAGTAGCACATAGCAGGTACTCAATAAATATTTATGTAATAAATAAATGCTAAACCTTTTTTGGCACATGAAATTTACCAAAGCCAAGTGAACGTTACAGAACTCACTTATCTAAACTTTTCTAGAGACAGTAAAAACATAGATTATTTTCTTGTCATTTAGGAAAGAGTAAGTTATCCATGCTTTCCCTTATTTTGATTCAGTGAAAGAAGAGGATAGAAAGAAGCAGAATCACACTGCTTTTAAACTGGGCATTGTGATAAGAGTACCTTTTCATTTAAATGTTAAAGTAGCTCTACATGCTGTAAATTTTATCCTATTTTATGTCCATTTTTTTTAATACTAGGGTCCCTTTTTATCCCAAAGAGACTTTTTTATAACTGTCAGATTTTCCAAAAAACAAACAAGAACAATGAAAACATAGGGTATTGTAGTCTTGAGGAAAATCAGTAATTATTAAAAGACAAGATTAGTGATTTCATACAATTTAGTAAAAAAATTCATAGCCAAAAATTATCTTTTCTTCCCCATCATTATTCTTGTCATCAAATACATAATCAGACTCAATGGGTTTTTTGTTTGTGCCTTTGCTTCTTTTGTTTGCTAGTGTCTTACATTTTAAAAGAGATTTTTTTGAACAACATATGAAAGCACATGATTGGCCACTTTACACAACACAGCTGGCGATAAAACATACATATTTTTACAAACATAAGCAATTTTGTCTTGTTTTTTGTTTGTTTTAGATAACTCCTACTTCTTTTACTTTGAAAACTGCTTGATTTCCAGTGTTTAAACAAAAAAAAAACCCCACATACTTTAAAAATTTTAGAATGGAACAAAAGTTGTAGGTAAGGCTCTTACTACTCAGAATTAAATAGAGAGAAGACTGGGGAATAACTTTTTGCCATGACTACTGCTTACAAGACTAAAAGACTAGCAGATTGGGTTAGGAAATAGGAGAGGGTTAATATTTAGAGTTTTCATCTAAACACTTGGAAATCACTAGATATCCCACTTACACACGTCAAAAATTGCTTCAAAATTCCCTTGATTCCAGTCTGACAGCATTACCTCTTATGGTATCAAAGTACTTCCTGTTGCTTTGCCAACATTTGTGCAAAGTCTATACTCTAACCTCAGTTCACAACGTCGATGATACTGGTTATCACCTTGGAGGCCCTTTCCTGAAGTTTCTACCATGTGGGAACTGCACTGAATCCAAATGGAGCTTTTGGTCATCCACATCAATAATATAAACCCAGAAGAAGGGAGAATTTTGCCATTCCTCCTTAGACATAATAGTGGAAAGATGCTGGTTGAATGTAACTTTCCTGGGATTGAGTCAGTATTGCTCTAAGGAAGGATTATTGTGTGGTTGATGGGTTATAACTAGAATTTGCTTAATTATTTTAAGAGTCTGGCAGGGATAAACTAGTGATAATTGTGTTGGAGTTCTCAATGTTTATTTTCTTTGTGAAAAAGATGAAGAGTTTTAATAATTAAGTTGTATTTAAATAATCAAGAAAACTCTGAATCTGTCAGGGTTTTTAGGTGCACCAATCTTCCCTTCCTAGTCAAACAGAAGGGGGTTTGTTCAAGGATATTATATAGTTCAAAGTCTCTCCGGGGGTGGACAGAGGATCTGGCTTGGATTCTGCAAGGGCAGCAATAATGCCGCCA